TGTTACCCAGTGCATCTCAGCGCCACCGCTGATTGATTGATTTGTGGGGTTTAACGTCCCAAAACCAGCATATGATTATGAGAGACGCCGTAGTGGAGGGCTCCGGAAATTTTGACCACCTGGGGTTCTTTAACGTGCACCCAAATCTGAGTACATGGGCCTACAACATTTCCGCCTCCATCGGAAATGCAGCCGAGTACCTTAGCCACTAGACCACCGTGGCGGTGCTCAGCGCCACCGCGTGAAGGCGAGACTTTTTGTGGGGATATATATATATATATATATATATATATATATATATATATATATATATATATATATATATATATATATATATATATATATACACCAAGTGGCTTTTTGTAAACCGTCGGCGGAACTTCAACTTTCTTTGTTTATTTGCGCATGCATTTGATTAGCGAATAGTTTGTAAGGCTTCGTGAACTAGAGGCAACAACGGTCACCGCTTTCAGCTCCGACTTTGGTTCGTGATGCGCCGTTCTGCAAGAACGATTAACGTGTATTCGTGCGTCGTTTTAGTGCTTCCCCCTGAACCACGGGTGTTTCGCTCACCAAAATTCGCGGATACTAGCGTGACGAGGCTGTTTTCGGCTGTCGAAACCTACGTATTTTTCTCGCGCGTGCGTGTGCTGCAAGCAATTTCGCTTATTTGTGTCGCGAGGTACACGCATGTCAGTGACAGCAGCCTATTCTCAGCTGTTTGAAGACAATGCACTTTCGCACGTTAACGTTCCATGGGTATTGTAGCGTGCCTGCTATAACGTTCGCATTTCGTACGCGCGAACTTCCGCGAGCTGCACGCTGAGGCAGCAGCGCCTTTTTAGGATTTCGACGCTTACTTATTTCCGCAATTAGGATTTATGTGCATTATTTCGCAATATACAGTGGTTTTGACTCATTTTCAGTCTTTAAATAATCTTATTTGTTGAGAGTGGCTACTCATACCTTTATTCAGCATCATACCGCTGTTCAAGTGAATCCCGAAAAGCGCACCAAGCTTAAGTATGACGTGCACAAATTAGTGGCAGACAGGTAGGTCTCCTTCTAAAGAAATAATGCTTCTGCACATCTCTTTCGCGAACGTCCGCATGCAGATGGTGTGAAGAAAAGGTGCAAAACGAACCTAGAAATCTGTATTGTTACTGCATTCAGTTGCTCTTTAAAAAATGGGTATTTTTATAGCTGGTACATTATGTCCACAGCAGTACACTGGTTGTCTTGGTCGTGGTTCACTGTTACAAATCCATGCTGAAATATGAGAACTGTACCTAATATTCAAATTTGTGAGCAAATGTCGGTGACATACGCTCTCCTGCTGACTTCTGCACCTGATTTTTGACATCTGTACTTGATGTTCATCATCACATTACGCAACCATTATTCAAAAATCAACCAACCGATTTTCAATTTTGATCTTTCTCTGTATCGCTGCTTTCCGTTCGTTTCTTTTTTTCCATGCTTTCCTAAAATAATCAGTTCAGTTTGTTTTGTAGAACAAGAGCACCAACATATAGGCGAGTGTTTCAGTACTGTCACGCATGCACTATAGAGCGGCCGCACCGCGAACACGAAACTTCTCAGCTTCCACGGTTCTCGCCTCGGTTTTATTTTTTTCCTTCTCCCTCCTCCTTATTTAGCTTCTGCTCTTCCATCTCTTGAGAAGAGATCTTCTTGCTTCCCAGAGATGAAGGAGGTGCGTGTCAACGGCTAATGGGTCCTCATTCAGCTGTATTCTTTTGTTGTGTTGGTCCGCAATGTCGAAGACCTTCCTCACCCAATCGTCTACGTCATCGATGGTGGTCTCAACATTTAGAACACCTCGGAATGAACCCCACTGTTATTTAGGCCGTGCCAATCCTCATGGGCTTGCGAGTATGAGCTACAGTTAATTGTATGATGTGGTGGTCGCTTCCCAGGGTTCCTGGGAGACAGCTCCACTCCGCTGAACGCACATTTAACGTGAGCGTGAGATGGGGGTTTGTGTCTCTGGCGACACTATTCCCTACTCTTGCTGTCTGGAGTGGATCATTCCACAAGGACAATCTGTGCTGCTTAGCCGTGTCGTGCACTAGGTCACCTTTCTTTGTTGTGTTATGATAGCCCCAAGCCATGTGAGGGGCATTAAAGTTTCCCATTATAACAACTTGATGGCCATCAGCGCGTTTCTTCAGTTCTCGAACCAGAAGGTCAAATTCTGGCAGTTGATCTTTTGGGGGCTGTACACGCTCACATCAATGAGTCTGTTTAGCGATTTTCTTTCCGGTATTACTTCCACCACAATGTGCTCGAGAAGTGTGTTTACTGGTTCTAATTCCTGTACCGTGAGAGTCTTTCTTGTAAGGATGGCTGTACGCTTTGTTTAGACGTGGGCGTTGTACCCTTGTAGCCGCACTTAATGTGTCTTTCGCCCTGCTCACTGAACAAGCGCAGGAACATGCAGAGAGGTTAGGAAGACAGAACTGGTCTGCATTTTGCGACGCACTACAGGGAGCTTTAAGCACATAGAAAACGTGAGACATTCTGTGTGCTCTTCTCGACAACAGCCCAACAAGGACGACGCAGCGACAAAATATTTGCTGGCTGATACACAACTATGCCGGATCAGAGGAGGACCTCCTTCTAGAGCTCCAGAAGAAGCTGTCTGGAGACGCACCCATAACCACGACGGCACACGACAAAGCCTACAACGGAAAACTGAACCCCGAACTTGATGAACCATTTACGTTGACAGAACTAGGTGCAGCACTAGCTACACCCACTAAAAACACCAGCTCAGGGAAGCATCGCATTATGAACAAGCATCTCCGCAACCTTCCGCAGCAGGCCACCGATGCCCTACTCCAGTATCTCAATGCTTGCTGGGAGAGGGGTGAGATACTGGCTACCTGGAAACATTCAGAGATTACTATGATCCCGAAACCCAACAAGCCCCTCAGCATCGAGAACCTGCGCCCCATTTACCTTACCTCGTGTGTAGGGAAACTATTTGTGCACAAGGTACACAACAGGATAATGCCGTACCTCGAAGACAAGAAATATTTTCCGAACACAATGTTCGGATTGAGGCCACACCTATCAACGCAAGACATATTCTTTTTGCTCAAGGAAGACCTCATCGATCACCTCAGCACCAGAAGCAAATCTTCAATCGTAGCGATTGATATAAAGGGGCCTTTCGACCACGTCAGCCACGACGCAATCCTCTACAATCTTGAACATCTGGACTGTGGACCTTAGTTATACAACTACGTTAGAAATTTCCTCAAGCATCGCACGGCCACAGTGGAAATTTACAACCTTCGCAGCGACACTTTCTGACTGCCGAACAGAGGTGCACCACAGGGTTCGGTCATTTCGCCATTGCTTTTCAACTTTGCATTGATCAGGTTACCCAGCCTCCTCGATGCTATACAAGACGTGTGACATGCCTTTTATGTGGACGACATTACGTTATGGACAAGGGCCTCAAATACCGGAATGCAAGAAATGTGCTTACAAGAAGCAGTACATATCATCGAGAGGTACTTGAAAAAATGTGGCCTCGAATGTGCTCTCGAAAAGTCGGAACACCTCATCCTGAAGTGTAGAACGAGAGGCCAGCCTGCCGCCTACATTGAACATGATCCCAGCGTCACCTTCAAAGGAAAGCCCATCAAGACAGTGGAAACATTACGAGTACTGGGGCTCCACATCCACAAATATGGGTCAGGTGCGGCCACACTCCCTCGACTACAGCGCACGCTATCTCAATTCACGCATCTTGTCAGGCGAATCACAAACCGTAGAAGCGGCCTTAAAGAGCAAGACACACTGTGCGTTGTGCAAGCTCTCCTCGGCAGTCGAATAACCTATGGCACTCCTTACCTCGCCCTGAAGAACGCAGAGGTAGAGAAGCTGAACATCATGATTCGTAAGGCCACCAAAATTGCTTTAGGGCTCCCATTCACGGCTTCCACTGCGAAACTACTGAAAATGGGTGTGCAAAATACCTGGCAGGAACTAGCCGAAGCCCAAGGGGCTAGCCAGCTAGAATGACTAAAGCTGTTGCCCACTAGAAGATCAGTGCTACAACGGCAGAACTATAGCGGAACGTTTATAGGCGACACAGAGGCGGTCCGAAAAGAACGGATTCCGCCAAACGTCCGCGAATCTTTCTGTTTCGCACGAATCCCCCGCAATATGCACCCCATACATCACAAGGAAATAAGGACAGGCACGAGTGAATGCTCTACGACGAAATCACAGCCAAGATCCAAACGCCAGATATACAGACGCAGCCAAGTATCCTGGTAGAGCCGCCTACGCTTTGAGCGTCGTTGATACTCGTGGTGTAGAGCTCGCATCTTCCACAATACGCACCCGAAGCCCAGAAACTGCAGAAGAGGCGGCAATTGCCCCAGCTACCACAACGGGCTTGGATGCAGCTGTGGTATTTACAGACTCTCAAGCAGCCATGCGAAACTACAGCAAAGATCGTGTGTCTACCCATGCAATTCAGACATTGAAGCACCGAAGCACTCCGATGCCGTTCACCTGTGTGACATGGGTTCCAGGGCACGAAGGGCTGGAAGGAAACGAGGCGGCTCATGCCGCGGCCCACGATCACGCCTACCGGGCTACCCCTTCCTGCTTTCTAGACGCCAGTACTGTGTCCGCGAAGGCTGAGTCTGTACCTAAGACTTACTCTGCAATAGTGCAACACCATAGGCTGGCAACACCATAGAGAGTATCCACCACCACACTCGAAGCTCAACAAAGAGGACAGCACCATGCTGATAAGACTGCAGAGCAACACGTACACACATGGCATACTAATGCACCGATTGTACCCAACATTACACGAATATGTCTTCCCAATTTGCGCCGTACCTGACACGTTGGTCCACCTGATCCTCGAGTGTCCATGCAATTGAAATACAGATCTATCGCCTCCGTCGAACACCTGTGACGCTGGTAAAGAAAACGAACACCTTCTCGAAATGTGGGAGGCCAATCTTGTCTTGGAGGACCTGGTCCAACAACGACGTCTCGTCGCCAGGGCCAAGGAGGCAGCGAAGGCCGGAGGGTTCCTGGAAGGAGGAGACCTCCCACCTAAGGTGAACGCGGAACCTACACCGCTACACTGTTTCGAAAATAAACGTTTATTCCTCCTCCATCTCGTCTTTCCTCCTTCACGCGCGTGCACTGGAGAACATGAGCAGACGCGCGTCTCAATTTTTATGAAATATTTCTTTCGAAATATTTCGTCCATGGTTTTTTGATAGAAATTAGACAATAAGAAATTATTGAAATACGCTTAACAGAAATAATGTTTACGAAATATTTCGCCAAATTTTGATAGAAATGATACAGTAAAATTTTTATGGCTAAGTGCTCAACAGAAATGTGGTTCACGAAATACTTCCTCAATGGTATTTTAATAAAAATGAGTCAATGACATTTTATGGCAAAATGCTGAACATAAATATTGTCGACGAAGTATTGAACCAAGTCAATGAGTATTGCGGAACCATTCATGATCAGTAGAGTCGATCATTCGATTACAGTCCGACAATGAAAAATCAACAATCAATTTCATAAGGGTACGCGTCTGCACGTTGATGCAGGTATGGAAGAACAACGCACAGTTTGGGGAACTGACGGCAGAAGAGGTCCGTACCATCCTCAAAGACGACCGGCTATACGCCCCGAGCGAGGTGGAGGACACCTTCAGTGCCCTCCTGAAGTGGATCTCTGCAAACAAGGCTGCGAGGAAGGGCTACCTCGCCAAGTTCCTGCCTCTACTGCGCCTCGGACATTGCAGTGTCTCGTGAGTACCCAGTCTTGCGTCAACGTATGCCATCGACTGCAGTAATGATAGCTCGCCGTCTACTCACATTGTAAAAGTCCAGCTTTGGTTGTATGTGTAAACTCCTGTGTTTTCATTCCTTGTGTGTGAGCGACGTAGCTGTAGTTGTTGGATGTTCACGCTCGCATTAGTCATACCGCGGCGAGCATTGCGTTGTCGGTTGCTTCCAGCTGAGCTGCGGACATTATCAAAAGTTCGCTGCCTGCAATTCACGCATCGGGAAGGTTGCATTCTCCCGTCTGTGCATGTTCAGCAAACTTTCACATCGTCATGATGGTTTCGGGTTTGTTCTGCTTTTCTCACTTTATTAAAATGGTGTTTATTCGAGCTGCTGAATCGAACTGGCTCCTAATAAATTCAGAGATGCACGGTTTTTTTTCACGCGAACCACTTGTATGCGTGTTACGCTCCGTAGAGTCCTTCGAGTGCGCGTTTACGCGTGTGCTATTTGCGCGAGCTCATCGCGCACGCGATATGAAATCGCGTCTGACGTTCGGCAGCTCTCATACTGAGCCGCGTTCGCTCAGCAGCCCTTACATATTCACTTTTACGGCTGATATCATAAAATGGAAGTGCAAGCATAACGCGAGAATAAAAAAAACAGAAAAAAGCCGCCCACCGCGTCCCTCGGGGGGAGCTCGAGTAAATGCATCATAGATTACTCTTACTTATTTAATGACGAACGCTTGCCAGTGAACGGTTGTGCAACGACCAGATGCTGCCTTAATCCGCCTTGCGAGGCGAGAGAGGACGGGGGGAGCGACAGTTGGCACGAGACGCGAGCAAGGGTAGTGGGTGTGTCGAAGACGCCACTGCCGCCGTATTTGCGAGTAGGTGCAACTATACAATGCTCCGCATTTAAAACCCGAGGGTAGCAGTTGAACTTGCTTCACAACAGTTAAAGCTAAGTGAACTGCTTCGCATCTAAGGGTGATGATTGAGTGATACGAAGGACATCACTCTAACCTTATCGGTCGGGCTGTGTTATCTTTGTTTCTTTTGGCATGCTGCAAAAGGTCGTTTACCACGCGCAGTACGCGTACATATGTATATATATATATATATATATATATATATATATATATATATATATATATATATATATATATATATCATCAGCCTGCAGGACAAAGGCATCTCCCATGTTCCGCCAGTTAACCCGGTTAACCCGGTCCTGTGCTTGCAGCTGCCAATTTATGGCCGCAAACTTCTTAATCTCATCTGCCCACCTAAACTTCTGTCTCCCCCTAACCCGCTTGCCTTCTCTGGGAATCCAGTTAGTTACCCTTAATGACCAGCGGTTATCCTGTCTACGCGCTACATGCCCGGCCCATGTCCATTTCTTCATACATACATATATATATATATATATATATATATATATATATATATATATATATATATATATATATATATATATATATTGCCAGCATGCACTTTGAACAGGGGCGTACCAGCTCTTTCGTGAGTGGAGATGCTAACCTGCCACACTCGCCAGCCGATATATATGTATATATTAAAAGAAAGACAACTTCTTCAACGCGCTTGCACTTTCATGTGATTTTTATACACACAGCACTTGTTCAATAGCGTAAAAAGATGACAGTCAGTTTGAGCAGGATGCACTGGGACAAGTACATGTTTGTCATGCTGATGCATGTAATATTAATACGCGCGACGCTTCTTATGCTTCCTTCACAACTTTCCACATAAATACAATTATGCGGATGGCGGCCTCCACAACAGAGAATATTTTATCTTTAAATGAAAATATTAACGACTAGAAACCACTCACGAAAATTCAGTTTTTAAATGTGAAGCACTCCTTGATAGACCAATGGTTTATTTTAGCTTCCCACTGAGCTCGAGTCCACTGCTTTATTCGTCGCCGCTTTGCAAGCTGCCTACATCGCTTCAATTCGCCATAAGCAAGGCTGATCAGATTTATTGATGATTAAAGTGGAAACCTTTCTTGGCGCTTCCAGTGCTGCAAACTAAAATATTTAGAAAGATTAGTTGCAATTTTGTGCTCACAGCAGCTTCGACGAGCGGCGGTAATGGTAATACCTTTTGATGAACGAAGACGAATTTCCTGAAGCAGCAAACGCTTTGACCAGTCCGTAAAAAGTTTCTTCATTCCCATCTATAACCGCATCAGCCAGTCGCACTAGAAAAATAATTGCCAGATTCCACGTACACTGGGAATCCATGATATGCGAAGCGCGAATTAGAAATGTTGATATGTCACTTTGTTACGAGGTGGAGCTAAAGGATGCCGTACATCACTTTCGTGTCATGATTATCATGTTTGGATGTGTCGCTTACCTTCGTCATCTGTTCACGTCAGGTGATACCAAATTTAGTATGTGTGTAGATAGTGAAACGGCCGCCGCGAGAACGCTATGAGCGTGATATGTTATCATGTCCTTACATGACACGCGTCTCAGGATTGTGTTTGCCGCAATCGTACAATCCGTCATCTCTTGGCGTCACGTAATACCAAATGTGGCATATGTCAAGCTAGCGAAACAGCCACGAGCGCATCATCAGTGTGGCATGTAGTCATGTTGTAACATGACACGCATGTCTTGATTATCATGTTTGCATGTGTCATTCACCTATGTCGTCCGTTCCCGTCGCGTAATACCGAGTTTGCTACATGTGAAGGTAGCTAGACGGCCCCGAGTGCATCATGAGCATAGCATGTAGTCATGTTGTTACATGACACGCATCTCATTTTTATCATGTTTGCACCACCATCATAACTTCATCATCCATTCAGATCTCGTAATACCGAATTTCGTTTAAGTAGCTAGCGAAACGGCCACCGGCGCATCGTGATCGTGGCATGTAGTCAAGTTGTTACATAACACGCATGTCATGATTTTCACGTTAGGGTCTTTCGCTTGTGTTCGCCATGCAATCATGCGAAACTATACCAGTTTTGCAATAAGCCATGTGAACGAAACCACCATAAGAGCTGCAGGACCATGAAATGTAAGTCATGACATTCATGATATAAATATCATGCTTTTCATGTTATGACTAGTCAAGTAAGTTCTTCATGCAGTCATGTTATGCCATACCAAGTTTGGTATTAATAACCTTATCGAAACGGCCAGGAGAGCTAAAAGTCGTAGGCGGCTAGATAGATAGATAGATAGATAGATAGATAGATAGATAGATAGATAGATAGATAGATAGATAGATAGATAGATAGATAGATAGATAGATAGATAGATAGATAGATAGATAGATAGATAGATAGATAGATAGATAGATAGATAGATAGATAGATAGATAGATAGATAGATAGATAGATAGATAGATAGATAGATAGATAGATAGATAGATAGATAGATAGATAGATAGATAGATAGATAGATAGATAGATAGATAGATAGATAGATAGATAGATAGATAGATAGATAGATAGATAGATAGATAGATAGATAGATAGATAGATAGATAGATAGATAGATAGATAGATAGATAGATAGATAGATAGATAGATAGATAGATAGATAGATAGATAGATAGATAGATAGATAGATGACATGGGCACCCTTCCTCTTCATAGAAAAATGCCAGAGTCATATTTATACCTGAGGCGGAATTGTTTTAGGCCCGTGTGCTCAGATTTGGGGGCGCGATAAAGAACCCCAGGTGGTCGAAATTTCCGGAGTCCTCCGCTGCGGCGTCTCTCATAATGACATGGTGGTTTTGGGACGTTAAACCTCACATATCAATCAATTATCAACTTTATGCCTAAACTGAACCACGCCCCCTTCGTAGAAAATCTGAGGCTCGTTTCCTTAACATCGTGTCTCGGAAAGACTATGGAGCATGTTCTGCTTGCACGCCTCCAGAGACACGTGGAGGATATTGGACTACTGCCTCCAGAAATGATTGGCTTTAGGGCCTCACTTTTGGTGCAAGATGCGATGCTTCGCCTTCAACACGACATCATAACTCCTAACCAGAGTGAGGATACTCAGGCGATCCTTGTTCTGGACATACATGGAGCATTCAATAACGTAGCCCACTCAGCTATATATGCTGGCATCAACCGCATTTCTTGTGGCCCTAAAATGTACTCTTATATCAGAGGCTTCCTTACAAACCGCACAGCTACATTAACGTTAGGTCCAGAACATTCCTCACCCTATACACTAGGCAGCTTCGGAACGCCTCAAGGGTCAGTGCTCTCTTTAATCATATTTAACCTGGCTATGCTACCAATACCCAACGCTCTTCAACGTATCCCTGACTTGAACTTCTTCATCTATGCCGATGATATCACCTTATGAGTGAAATCAGGTGGACACATTCAAGACACCCTGCAAACAGCTGTAGATATAATAGCAGCACTAACATGATGATTTTCTATTGCACACCGAGTAAACCAGAGTTACTCCTTCTACCAACTCATCGTCGGAAAAAACACGTTCCAATGATCGAACTTCACATAAATGGGTGCCTCACTCCTAGAGTATCACGCATTCGTGTGCTAGGTTTATTTATCCAAAACAACCGACTTAATACGCACACACTCGAAGCTTTGCGCAATACTGTTGAAACCACCCTAAGAATAGTAGGAAGAATCTCAGGGAACAATGGAGGGCTCCGCGAGTTAGAGCTACTTCGTGTAACACAAGCGTTTGTGATTAGTGAAATCACTTATACTCTACCTTACATTCACCTTAAGTTAGCAGAGTCGGAATTGGTCAACATCCTCTTCCATATAGTTTACAAATACGCACAAGGCATTGCACACAATACCTCTCACGCATGACTCCACCAGACAGGAGTCATAAATATCCGATGTAAAATCAATGAAGCCCATTCAACAGCTCACTATACACATGGCTCGTGACCACTAGCGCAGGTCGCCACATTTTATCGTCTACCCGAATGAACTTCACCTGTCTCACCAACGCTAAATATAACATTCCCCATCA